TAGGAGAGGAAGGGCAGAGACACGCAGGCCTGCACTGGGGAAAATCCCCGTCACTTCTGCGGATAAAACATATTCCTGGGGCTTCCTGTGGGTGCATACATGGCCCATGATTTCTAGTTGCTCTCCTGTACAACCCTGTTGATGAAGGTGTACGATCAGCCCTCTGATTTCCATCACGGCGGGGTATCAATTACAAGCCAGATAGCATCAGCGGAGGCGCCCAGCCTGCAGAGAGCTCAATGGCTGAGTAAACAAAATTCCCACTAAATAGCTGTCTAATCGTTATCGACATTAGGGTTCAATTCCAAATAAGAAATGCTTTCATATGAAGAAAAAGTCCTGGCTTTTTCTCGGTTTTTGCCCCGCATATATAAAGATGTCAGGACAAGCAAGACGCCACCCTCTAAACGGGGCGTCTTGCAGTGAAAAGATGTCCTTTTCACTGAAAAGGACATCTTTTCCCCAAATGTCTGCTCGGTCAGTCTAAGACGAATGATTTCATTATTTTCACAATTACAGGCCTTCAATTTCAAGTAAAAAAATAATAATATTAAAACATTGATGACCCTTAGAAAGAGGGAAGTTAAGAGCAAACAAAATTTGCACAAAAACTTTACAAAATGCGATAACTGATATCTTGACTCAATAATTAGCCAGTTTGCGCCCCTTCTTCAATTTGCTGCCACTTCACGGACCAATAAAACAATAATGTAAGCTAGAACAACAGATGGCATTGAAAACGGCCTTTATTTTATTATATTTATATATATATATATATTCACAATGAAATTATAAAAATATATAATTAAAGCTTTAGTATATATTTTACATTTAGACAATTTATAACTTTTGTTCGCATCGTCAAGTCTCTCATGGTCACAATTTAGGACAATAATAAATGGCGAATCACTGAATGGACCTCATCTTATAATAAACGTTGAGCGGATTTACATGTAGTTTTTTATTTTATTTTATCCTGTAGCCTCAATTAGACACAGCCTGTAGCAACATGAAATATTTCAACAACATGAAAAAGGGGGAAATAAACTATCCACCAGGGAGGGAAAAACACCAATACATCCATGCAAGCTTACATTCAAGTAGCCATGAAGGCCGACAGAGCTGCTGCGCGCACTCGTTACGCACGTTGACGGGGCCTGCGTTTTTGTTTTTGACTGTCAGTCACAAACAAGTCATCGTAGTGATCTCACTTACTGTTGGAGCTGTTGAAATGAGTTCAGTTAAATGTGTCTGGTAATTAAGGTGTGTTTGAGTCCCGGTTAGGAGGATGAGGTAGCGAGAGAGAGTCCATGCACACTGTTCAAGTCTTCATGTTGGTGCTGTTTGCTCAGAGGACTGGGGGGCTTTCTGTCTCCTGATAGGCACAAAAAAAAAAAAAGAACAGGAGGAAACATAAAAATATGATCAACTCATTAACTTGTTCAAATGAACAAGATTTCTTGTTCAGACTTCTTTATTTACCACGCAGTGTCTTTTAATTGAGGTGCGTGAAATGGCGAAGTTTGAACTGTCGAGTTCTAAATTTGAAATCTGGACCCAAACGACACTTAGTTGATTTTACATTTATGATACAAAATCATAAATGCGCTCATGAGATACATGTATCATAAGCAGGGTAAAAACGTGCAATAATAATAATAATAATAATAATAATAATAATAATAATAATAATAATAATAATAATAATAATAATAATAATAATAACCTTCTCGGACTTGATGCTTGAAGGCCATGGGCGAGTGGATCTCCCCCGCGTGCATGGCCATCCCGCTGCCTGGGTGGGAAAGGGCCGGACTCTGTGGCTGCCAGTGGTGGTGGCCCGGGGCCACGTAGCCTCCTGCTGGGCCACTATAAACCCCGTACTGGTTGCTTGGAGAGTAGGCGCACGCCGAGACATAACTGGACAGAGTGGAGGAAGGCTGCCGGTGGAAAGATAAGACGTTGGGGGTGGGGGAGATAGGGAGGGTAATAAGCGATTGTTATTGCGAGCAACTCTGACATTTGGTCTCCAACGTGTTTGTCTTTCTACTTCTATTTTTAATAAGCCTAAAAGTGTCTCCTTTTTGCCGCTTTCAAAACATATGATGCATATTTAATGGTTAAAATCTCGTTGGAAAAGCTGGCAAAACAATGCCTTTTTAATATCACTTTGAGGTTCATAATCCATAATATTGTCTTTACTATCTAATTATTTCCGCATTTCTTTCCTTACAAATAACATACACACAACAGTGTTGAACATACGTCTAATTTGAGTGTAAGTATATGCATTTATTTATTTATTTATTTTATGTCAGGCCGCTTTTTGTTTTACCTGAGCGTATTTTATGTCTGCGTCGATGGCTGGCTTGTCGATCCCGTTCACCGAGTGAGAAGCAGGAAAAGCTGCTCTGTTCATGCTGCTCCAGTCCTCCATTTTTGTCGGATATCCCTCCGTCCCAGCAATTGCTAAATTGAAAACACTCACGTCAAAATTGTATAAAAACTGTAGTTTCGGTTGATTCAAAATTAATTCTGCAAATGTATAGCTATTAATTCTGTATGAATGTAAAGCTATACACATTTTAAGTTGTTTTGCAGCCACAGCCTCATTTCAAAGAAGCATTTTTCAAACATCAGAGAAAACAGTAAATTGTATAAGGCAAAAATAAAATATAGTAGATAAAACAAGAGATTATAAAAATACTGAACTTTTTTTCTGAATTTAATAAACATTTGTTTTATTTACTATTAATAAACAAATACGGTACACATAAAATGTTATTTTAACCTGAAATTGTGAAAACTGAATTACAGTTCCAGAAAAAATACATAGATTACAAATAACATTACAATTATTTGATCAAAAAACGATTTTATTTTTGTCTGATATGTTATTCGAATCCTAACTATTCTAAAGAAGTAAAAAAAAAAGAATACAGATGATTTTCAAATAAAATCTGCTACTACAAACTATGATCGTATAGGCTATTCATGAAAATGTATTTCTAAGGCACGTTCAAAATATATAAAGCAACGTGACAGGAAAAACACGGGGCTAAAAACCACGTAAAGGAAGAGAAAATGCGTCTGGTCGCTATTTAAAGGATCAGCTAGGATATATAGCAGGTGAGCAAGGTGTTTGCAAACGCATCATCCCATGAAAAGGTCTATTGAGCTTGGCCTTACTGCGTTCTTGCTGAATGGTGAAATGGAGAACTGGCGTAACTTTCAATGATTTTTTTGTTCTACCTGATATCAAAACAGATGTAGTAGATTATATGACAATTGATCATGCAGAATAAAAGAACAATGCGCAGCTGCTTGAGTTTGCAGACCTCTCGCCGTCACTCTGACAAGTTTTCAGAACGCAGTTAGAAATATGCGTTTTACTCTCACCTGTGGGATCCATGAATGCTCGTATTCCCAGGATGTTGCTGACAGTGTGCGGGGAAGGCCAGGCCCTCGATATGCTCACATGCCCAGCAGTTACTGGTACTCCAGGTGGGGTGCCCATTTTAGTGCCCGTTGGAGACATTGCGTTGGTGTAGGAGTAAGGATATATGTGGTTGTACGAAAGCCCGGCCTGCGCGGAGGCTTGCTTGCTACTCTCGTACTGGTTAGGCTGGGAGAGATTCCCGATCTTGTTGCGTAAAATCCTACTGATCGAGCTCACGGAGGGAACATTGTACTTGTCGCAAACACCGTCGGCTAGAAGCCTGTCCCTGATCTCCCACGCAAAGATCCCGGGGTCGCTCTGTTTGTATTCCCTGATGTTCTTCACCACGTTTGGCGTCGTTACGCGCGGCTTGCTCCCACCGATGGCACCGGGCAAGATGGATCCCGTCTCGTTGTACCTCGCTAAAATCTTGCTCACGCAGCCATGGGAGACTCGCAGCTGCCGGCTTATGTCGCAGGGTCTGATGCCTAGCTGGGCCAGTTCCACGATTCTCAACCTTATGGCGTTGGGCAGGGGTCTCCCGTTGACAAACACGCCGCCAAGTTGGTTCACCTCTCCATAGGTTTGCTCTGCAGGGGGGAAAGGAATTAAAATGTAACTTTAAACAACAGTAAAACAAAAATAAAAAATAAAATAAACCACATCTTGCCGCAGGAGCAACTGAAATATTCATCTTGCGTCCTGACCGAGTTTAGAACGCTGTTTATATCTATCATAGGTGATTTAAGGTTTCTATCCGCTAATTACAACCGTGCAAAAGAGTGCAGACTATTTGATTGCCACATCCTTGCACCACCATGCATGAAAACAACATTAAAAATGGCGAGCTTTAGAAGTTTAGACATTAGAGATCCCTTCAAAAAACTTCCCGCCTTGCAATTGGTTGATGTGGTTCCATTTAAGAGTTAAAGTCCCAAACATGCATTCAAGTAAAAAGAAAAAGAAAAAAATCCACTATTAAATACAGTTGACAAATTCTCGCCAGCGATCTCCCCTCTTTTGGCTATTGTCTCACACATTCTTTTTTTTTTTTTTTTTTTTTTTGTCTTTACTCTGCTGTGGCGAGGTTGTAACGCTTCTATCACTGGAGCATGCACGCTTTGGGCTTACCCATTTGCCTATACTGGTGTGAGATGCCGGGAAGTAAAAGGTGTCCCTCCAGATAGCTGAATGCGTCCTATAGTGAATCCAGACGTGAAAGGAGGGAGCGAGAGGAATGAACCCAAACAAACAGGGGAAAAGAGTGAACTTCTATCAGCCTCCTTACTAATCCAGCGCGCTCCCCTTCTTATATTTGGAAACCCACTGCGCGCAATGGCACCACAGTGATCTTCATCCGATAAATGCAAATTGGAGTTATCCCGGGGAGTTCAGTCTGCTGGAATTAATTTGACGCGTCCTCCACGTCAATCTTCGTTGCCATAAGCCAAGCCCCCTCTCTGGTCTCATTGGTTGCCCTGCCCTGGAGAGGTTGTCAGCCAATACGAAGCCTATCCGGTCGGAGGTGTGCAGCCTTCCTTCATTATTTTGCATAGGGGAAGTGGAAGAGAGGAAAACGTTTCGTCCAACATGCAGCCCATGGTAAGAACTTACATGTGATAGATTTGATGTTTGTGCATGTCAAAACATTGTTGAAACTCTTGCCAACATTTCAAAGTAATCTGTTGCGCTTTTTGCGCTCTTTTATGTAAATGTTTTTTTCTGTATGATTTAAATGCTTTAAGATGTTATTTGCTAGAATATATATATATATATATATATATATATATATATATATATATATATATATATATATATATATATATATATATATATATATATATATATATATATATATATATATATATATACGTCAGAGCTAGGGGAAAAACATGCACACTTCCAGCCTGAGTTTTTCTATTTTATTTTACTAGCCAGCGTTAGGTAATCAAAGATGAGAATGACCTCATGTAATCGATACCTCTGTAGATGGCAGAGAGCTCACCAGACTCTGGGATATCAACTGGATTCCACAGAGGAATATTATCACAGCGTGTTTTCCGAGTTTCCTGTGTGAGTTTAGAAAGTATCGTTTATAAGCTCACAAAACGTTACTTGTAAAACTTAACAGTCGACCCGATGGTAACAAGGTGCAGTATTCCAATCCCCCATCCCTGATTTTTTACTCTCTTTTTTTTTTCTTTTTCGCATGCTCCCACCCCTTCCCCTACCCGCCGTCCTGCCTGTCTGCTGCAGCCCATCATACAGATCATAGAGCAGGACACATGGAAAGCATCAGGCCAGCTTACAACCAGGGAGTCTCAGACACAATCTCTCGAAATATTAGAACACATGGAGAATGAAGTTGATTGTATTTCTATATACACACACACGCCATGTGATGATGCATAGAATACTTCTGTCTGTCTTTTTCACCGTCTCTCACTCACTTTCTCCCTATTACTTGATCTGTGGACCCCCCTCGTCTGGACAACTGTGGAATTGCAGTATTTTAGCCGTTTGTTTGCGTGACTCTTCGGATTGGTGCTTTTGTTCACGGTCCTTCCTTGCAACTGACTGTCGAAAGTTTTAGATATCAAAATTGGGTGCGGCAATAAAGACCACTTCTATGACTACATTTTCAACTACTGTTTGAAGCCCTAACTCAAACCAGTTTTACTAATTAAGGTTTCATTATTATAGCCACAATGTGCGGCCTTTTCGTTTATTAACGAAATATCACGTCTGATATTTTAACCCGGGAGCTTACAGTGATAGCTGAGTGGCACATAAACATTTCACAACTCTTGATCGATATCTCCAATAGCTGTGGGAAAAATAAAGACAGAATATTTAACTTCGCTGTTATGCAGAGCAAACCCATTTCTTAGTTTATTTCGGAACTAAGTGGCTATTTAAGAAATTAAGAAATTGCTGTGACATTTAGAATTTATTTATTTATTTACTGGTTTTCTTTCGAGATGCAACACGTTTAAAAGACAAATATAAAACGCTGGTCTTTGTACTATTAAAAAGGTCGTTCTTCAGGCTGCATTCCTGGAATTTCAAAAACCTCTAGCAAATTCATTTTCTTGAATTTGAAACCATTCGGAAAACGTTGCACATAAAGTAGTCAAAGAAGTTCTATGTTCTGCAAATTAGGCTAAAACATCTGCGTGTAAGATGTCGTTGGTGCAATTTTGCGCACTTCGCAACTGTCTACTGTCGCTTCTCAGGTGTGACAAAACAAAAGCACATCTTGAACGGCGTCTGTCCTCTTTTTTCCAGGACTTAGTGTACTCCCACAATACATTCCCCCATAAACACGATAGTAGAAACATAAATACCAAAATACAGTCCTCAATATTTGATTTCAAATTTAAAATCTTTTTTTTTTCTGTCACGCAGAGGCCAAAGCTAAAAATGTCTGTTTTTCAATTGTTGATTTGATAGGACGTCTTTTCATACATAAAAAATTCGTACAGCAGAAAACGCTATAAAAGCGGGAAAAATATTCATTTGTTGAACGCTAATTTTCAGCGACAGCTAATACTTGATATGTATTGGTATATATAACAAATGCAATTAATTTATGTATGTCTATTACTATATGAATACCTGAGGCTGTTCGTTCCGCCAGATTTATGTGTTTATAAAAATATACTTTTATTCCTTATATGATCTAGTGAAACTATATTGCCCATACGAATTATGTGATATCGATGGATCACGCGTTAATCTATTTATGGATTCTTGTGATTTTACTGACCAGCATTTCATCAATGAAATTGGAATACATAAATAAATAAATATTCATCTTGTTTAGTTATGCAAGACTCAAAAACTAAAAGCCATTTAAAGTAATAAATTAAATCAGTTTTGGAACAGACTAAATTTTCTGCACAAATCTATTCTAATAAGGTGGCATGTTGACCTGTCCATTCATGTCCACACTCAGGATATGCTGCACAATACTAATGGCTGAATGATTGATTTCAAGCTTACATTTAGCTTTAATGTTGCTATTCCCAGTTAAAGCTGTACACAAACTTAAATTCTTGCTTCAACACGGAAACTGACAAGTAAAAGTCCTCTGACAGTTCTGAACTTTACCTAAGTGCTTATTTAAACACTCATAAATAAATTGGTGCCACTATTCTGTTACACATTAAATAGTCGCTTATTGAACAACATTTTGAGTTAAATTCTGTTTAGGTCAATTGTCACCATAAAATGAGTTAATATTCATAGTGTTAAGCTGTTAGTGCACAATATATGCACAAATAATTTGTATTTTCCACTCTTTTTCTAGTGTAAAAAATAATACAGCTGCTGTTCCACATGAACATTTTGTCATGTGTAAATTCTAATATATATATTTTTTCCTTAAAGTAATTAATTTATGCCATCAAGTCATTCGCAGACTTGAAAAGTTCAAACAGACGTCTTGACAGAGTTAAATGAAAATGTCCCCCCAACTCAATCAGTTGACACCTGACACCAGTAAGGTGCAATGACCCTAGTTGGTAAATATTGATTTTGGTTTTAAGTGTCATCAAAGGATAAACGTCCTCAAGTGTGCTTTGTCTTTAAAGTCTTAAGACAAATTTAAACTTCTATTTTCCCTTGAATCCAGCGAACAGGATAAGTGTTACTTTGAGTCTGGTGGTACAGACTATTCTGATCGTTCGGGAGCAAGTTTCCTGATGTTGTATAGATATGCTGTCTATTCCTCATGCTCACAAAATATATAAATGGCAGGATAAATGATATGGAAATTCAACTTTAGATCAACTTGCTTCTTTCAGCATATTAGAATGAAACACAAGCGTAGGGAATTAAAGGTAAAACCGTTCATGTTTATAATAAGGTCTAATACTCCTATAGAAGGTTATCTTTGCCTTATTTGAAGACCTCAAATTTTGCGGTGTAAATACTTTACAAAAATACAAAAATTTCTAGGCTTTTGTCTGATGTCCATGTTACTCCTTATTTGAAAGGAGGGAGTTGAAATACCTTTGTATCCTCTCAAATTCAACCATTCCCAACCTGTAAAGAACCACACAGATTCTCTCACCGATAATCATAGCAGAGAAGGTTTGTCTGCTCCTATCTGATTTAGAGGTGGTGTTGTGTAGTTTCTTTGTGCTCCTGCTGGTTAGACCAGCCTCAGAAGGCAGGGAGTTGACTTCTTTTATAGTCATGAGACCCACTCTGAGCTGCAGAACATGCCTAATGAGGGCGCATGGTGGTGCCATGTGAGGCATGCCAGCTTTTTTTTCTTTTTGTTTTACCAGGCTGGTAATTGCTTGTGACCTTCCCCAAACATGTCTCGTGTTTCTTTGTGTTTTAAACGTACTTCTAATTATGACTCAGATCTGTTGTCTGAGAATTGGTTCTTTGGAGAGACGCGGCGGAAATGGCAAATTATTTTTGCCTTTTAAACTGGGTACACAATACGCATAGGCCTGCCAATTTTACAATATTTATGACTGAAAGAATTTCTTGGGGAAAGTCTGTGTATTTTATGCGCACTTTTATGTAAAAGCTGTCAAACCCTTTCAGTAATAATAGAAATTTGCAGTTATAGTATGAGAAGCATTTACAACTTAAACATAATATCATGCTTGATTTTTGTAAACCGATATGCTGCAGTGTGTGGCTCTGCATTTTTGCTTCAGGTGTACCATCATGATCAGTCAGACATGATCCCTATAGATGATCCCTATGAATATTTGTTTTTGTATTAGTTTTAATAAGTGGTATTTTGTGTGTTCATATTTGGTTCTACTAACAATATGCTTTGAAATTAAGCTTTAAATACTGCTAGATCTCACAAGGACATTTCACTTTGATCATGTATGTTTTATTAGTTCATCAATTGCATTTAAAGTTTTTTTCAGTCACTAGGGTAGACTACACATGTGCATACATGTTCGTGAAATAACGTTGTGGAGATCAGTTTGCACTAGTTTAGTAAAAATTACCTTGTTTGTTTGAGTGCAGTTGAAACACTGTAGTTCTCATTTTAAACAGCACATGCAGATTGATTGCCTGTATTCAAATGATAGTAGGAGAAGAAGAAGAAGAATGGGAGCAAGTGTTTATTTAATACAAATCAAACTACAAAGTCTGGCTCATTAATAAATTTTTTTCAAGGGCTTTTAAGGGTAACAAGCAATGAACAATGAGTTATTTTCTGTACTAATTGTCAAAACACGCATACACTGAACAGTATTATAAAAATGTAAAATTTTCAGATGCTTTTCTATTGCTCTTTGTATTTGGCAAGTCCTGCTCATGCTAGGCACAAAGTTTAATGAAAAAATGGGGATGTGTGCAATTGTCTGAGGTGCCCACCTCCCAAAACAGCCCACACAAATGGACTTATGGAAGAATAAAGATGGCAGTTCAAGTCAGGAGTAGGAGGTATGATTGGGCATGCCAAAATAAGAAAGTGTTCAAAATACATGCCAATTGGTTAACTTCCATAAAATGCATCTTCCAAAATGTTTGCTGGTTCATTCAAGCAAATACCCGAGATGCCCGTTTATTGGCCTGATCGAGTACACCTGGATTAAAAGGCTAAATGTACTTTTTTGCACTTCAGAACATTTTTGGTCTGGTTATTAACCACTGATTTGAGTTATTTGATTTACATTTGGATTGAGCTCTAACTAGCTTAGTGACAATGCTAATATCAATCTAGCTGCCAAGCTGAGCTTCAGCAAATGCTTCTGGTAAAGAGAACATATTAGTAGAAGGTTTAAATGGTTTTGTGTTTCAGTAATAGTTTATGCCTTGATGCCAAAGTCAAACTTGCTAAGAAGTTGAGTTTTTAGCCCAGATGCAGTCATTGCTAATGCGTAGCACAGTTAGTTGAAGCTGCCAGGTAAAAGGTTTAGTAACAGCTCTAATGCTAATGTTGAACTTTCTAGCATGCTTAACTTCTTAAGCTTGGGAATGTCGTCTCTAATGAACAACACATTTTAACTTTGCCTGCCACCTATTTATCATTGAATTTAGTCACATTATTGTGCATTAATGTAAAAGTTTCTTTTTAAAACAAAGGAGTCAGATGACTTAATAATAATAATAATAATAATAATAATAATAATAATAATAATAATAATAATAATAATAATAATAATAATAATAAAAGATTGAGAAAAGTTGTCTGCTCATGTTAAAGTGGCTTGCACTTGGATAGCCCTTTCTCTAGTAGGAGGACTCCAGTCAAACACACATTTACACACAAGTGGTGGAAAGTTACATTATAGCCACAGCAGGCAGAAGCAAGGCTGCCATTCAGGTGGCAGTTGAAATGTCTAGCCTGAGGAGACAGTGGCAAAGTGACTGAGACAGAGTTAAAGACGTGGTTAAAACTGCCATCCCACAAACTATCAGACTGACATTCCTTGTGAGATATTGTAGCAACTGTCCTGCACCTACTAGTACATCTCAAAAAATTAGAATATTGCGCAAAAGCACAATTTTTCTTGACAGTCATCTCAGAATGTGAAAAGGGCATTTTATAGCAATTCTTTGCACATAGCATTTCAAGCTTTTATTTTTTGCAATTCTACTGATTATGTGTTACAGGTAAAAAAAAAAAAAGTCAGTGTCTCTTAGAATATCACATTAAACAAATCAAAAACTACTGTAAGCACAAATGCCAGGCTTCTGAAAAATGTATACATTCCTATACACTGAATACTTGTTTGGGCCTCTTCTTGTATGAATTCACCATAGATTTTCACTGGCCAACCAAGAATAGAAACACCGGGCAAATGAACCAGCTCTTAGTACCTTTGGCAGTGTAGACAGGTGCATTGGTGGAAAATAAAATCAACATCACCATACAGCAAGTAAGTACAGGAAAGCTTGAAGTGCTCTCGAATGCTTTGGCAGAATGCTGAAGTCCAAGAAACTATGGATTTTGGGAAACACAGTGGACTAACAGCAGGAAATGACATGGCACCCTAAGCCATCAATGACTGTAGAAACTTCTCACTGGACTTCAAGTAATGTAGATTCTGTGTCTCTCCACTGTCCATCAGGACCCTGGGGCCTTGATTTCTAAATAAAATGCAGAATTTACTTTCATCTGAAAACAGGACTCCCGGCCATGGACAGTCCAGCCCCTTTCCTTTTCAGCCAAGGTAAGATCTCTGACATTTCATTTTATTTATGATTGACTTCAGAAAGGAAGTATGACAGGGGAAGACTGATTAGTTCCCAATAATGATAATAATGGTCTGTCTGTTTCACAATATTCAAATTTTCTGAGATACAGGTTTCTATTGTCTCATCAAAATTACTACAAACACAGGGCTGGAATATATCACTTTACATGTTGTGATTCTATATAATATATGAGATTCACTTCCTGAGATGACTGGCAGGAATACTTGTGTTCTTATGCAAAATTCTCATTTTTGAAATGTATTAATATATCTAACTTGTTAATTCAGTTCAAGCTCTCCTAGTAAAAAACAAATAAATCAAATAAATCAGGTGGTGTTGAGAATAAATAATTCTCCGTTTTTCTTCTATCTCTTTTAGCTCATTGGAAACCTAAAGCTAAAGGAAATGATATGTTAGTAAACACCCTCAAAGCTAAAGTTAAAGAAAATGAGGCACTAGGGAATCCCCCCTTTGCAGTGTAGCTTATATAGAGGCTGACAAATAGAATTACAAACTGTGGCTTATTGCCATTTTGTCCTGCTAGCTCCCAAAGTTAGCATAATAAATGCTAATTTTTTAATATTGAGAAATGGAATCCATGAATTCAACTCATTGACTCTTCATCAACCTCATACATCAAGAACTTAACAGGGAGAAGGAATAATTCTCTACAGTGGTATATGGAACAAGGATGCTTTAACTCTTTGGATAATTTTATTTCAAACAAGTAAAGAAAATATAAAATCACACATTGAGTATCATAAGCAAAGATGAATAGTGAAGGGAAGAACCTGGAAAACACCTACCAGTAAAAGGAAAATCCAGAAACACCTAATAACAACCTCCAACTGTAAACTATTTTGTTAAATGCCAACTAAAAAAGAAACCACTGGGTTTTTCTCTGCTTGTATCAAATAACCATATAGTGAAGAATCTGCATTTAGATTTTTATGTCGTAAACCCCCCGTACTTCCACTTTAATAACATTTTCTTTTACCAGGCTTACAGCTGCTTCCTGTTGAAAGACTTTAATTCAAATGCACAACAGTAATTCTCTTATTAAACAGCAGGTGCTGTTTAGAGCAATGATTTTGATTCAGGTGGTCTGTAGAAGATGATAACCAGTATTTAATTGCATCACTGTTTTGGAGTAGAGAGCCTTTGAACAAGTGTAAATAATAAGTATCTATTATGAGAATAATAGTGCTAAGGGGCAAAAGATCTGTTTATCAGGCATCAACTTATAATCCTCATTTAAAGGATTGAGAGGGTGGAATTGTGCAATGTTTAAATATCAATACTTTGATTTTACCATGTTAAATTTATTCATATCTTGTGCCCCAGTATGACTTTCTAATATCACTACAAAGGTGTTTAATGTCACAACGTGGCGAGACGAGTTAAAACATAATGAAGAGCTCCCTCTGTGGTCACAGACATAAACAAATATTTGTATCATTTTAAGGAAATTAGGAAGTTTCTCGACATGGACTGAACTTTCTAACAAATTTTGATGTGTGATGAAGTTCATTGAGAAATTTTAAGTGAATCACACAAACATTTTTAAAAAGCAGAAAATTAACCAATACATTTTGTGGCTTGTTATATAACACATTTTCTTGCTAGACTGTTTACTCTCCTAGCTAATTTTATCCATTCAAAAAACTTTTCTCAGCATCGTTACACGTGTCTGTTTTTGTTTGGCACTCAGGCCTTGCCTGTCTGGATCTGTTGTCAATTAAGAGGAGGGCCCTTAATTACTTTCGGAGCACTTTAGACTTGATGCTGATTCATGGCTGTCGTACTTGGAAGTCGGCCAGCGAAGTTAAAAACAGTGGGTCACATGTGAAAACCGATATAAAAACTGCATTTTAATCTTGTTATTCCACAACCTCTATGATTAACTCTTGACTTTTACTTTTAGAACTGCTTTTTTATTATTATTATTTTAAGTGTGTTTTCTCTATGTAGTATATTTTTTGCCCTTTAAGGCACCTGTGATTCAAAAAGATTTCTGTCCTTAACCAAACCTTTTCTTTGAACAGCCATGTGAGATTACTGTTGTTGCACAAGTCTGTGTTTCATAGCTTAAATATGCCAGATCTAAGAAGGAAAATTGTGCAAGAGGACATTCAAGGCCTTCTATCAAGAACAGTGTAATATTGTTTTCCGCCAAACCAGAAATTACAGCCTTGGAGGGGCCTTTTCTATGTCAGGGATAGGGGTACTGTATGTCTTCTGACAGTTACTCCTTTTAAGATTAATGAGCTTATAAAAACCCTGTGTCTTCTTTCAAACGCCAAGCTCGATATCAATCAATGTTACCAGCATAGTCTTGTTCTTCCAAGAAAGAAATCCCAAAGATGGATTGGACACTGTTGACACAGCACTGTCGAAACAAAATCTGGGGGTTTATGTCTCTGAGAAGGTGTAGGATCCTGAGAATAAAAAAAAAAAACATTTTTTATTCTAAACAGAAAAATGTTCTGTTTATATGTGAGTAGGAAAAATTAATTATAATCTTTTATTTATTTATTTTTTCCAGATTATACATGGGCCCAAGGATCTTTTCACGAAAGATATCAGTGCTTTGACCTCACTGAACCGGAGCCAGATGCCCATAAATACATTCCCTTATTTCTATCCTGCTTTGGATGCCAGTTGGACCAGGAAGTTGGTTTGTTTTGGGTGTTCTCAGTAGCATATATTCCACCAAAACCTGCACTTTTCACGTTTCTCAAAAGACAGCTGAGCCAATTTCCTGAAATGCACCTGAATTCCTGCTTGTGGTCATTTGTAATGTTGGTGATCTGCTGAAAGCTGTTGAATCACGGTTCAGTGTCCACATACTGGAGACTTGTTTATCCCCTCACCACGTGTGGACTGATCAGCTGGACGTCTCTTTCTCCGTGTTGAGTAGCTGAAGCTTTGGAAGCAGGTTCAAGAAAATAAATGTGAAAAACTTGAGTTGGGATTTGATAAAATGAACGGTAAATCTTAATCAAGCCATCATAAACTGCTTCAGTTTTTAAGTTGACAATAGAGATTTTTTTCATCTTTAATTAAAATGTTAAAAAGACAAGCATTTACTGTCTTTAAGTCCAAATTAGTTTTAAAGCCTGTGATGCAAACATAGCAGAGGAATAAGTGAACTTCGTTCCATCATACCAGTGCTGAAATATTTGACATGTTTGCACTGAGTAGGAATACATAGACTTGCAACCAAGCCTGGACTTGCTGGCCAAGAAAAAACCCCTTAGCGCCCCCATTTTCTTCAACATGCCGCTTCCTGAATGAATGTGCTGCTTAAAGCACAGCACTCCCAGTCTTTTGAATCATAATATTGAGACTCTTTAGTAATATTTTTATGTTTACATTCTAACTTTTTCTCTCCTATTAATCATGCTTTCACAATTCATGGTATGGTACAGTGGAGAGTGGATATTTTTATGGTTTTGCGGTTGAGTTAGGCCTTTTCTACTATGTCAGTGGTACAAATGACCCAGATTTTAAGTTGATGTAAATTATTTTGAAACTCTACAGTATGTAAGTATCTTTTTCTGTGAAATGCGTTATATGATGCAGGGGATTTTCAGGTTGAAATGTACCATTCATTTTGATAAATTTTTGCCTTTTTAAATTACAGAATTTAATCTGTAATTTAATCTGTTGGTTCTCATCAGTAAACTGATCATTTCTACTGATTCCCAGTGAGACATCATGATTCTAAAATGACTTGAAAAAAATATCTCACTTATTTTCATTTGTTTCACACGTTGTTGTTGTTATTATTATTATTATTATTATTATTATTATTATTATTATTATTATTATTATTATTATTATTGTTATTATTATTATTTTAGGGGTTTACTGGAGAACATATGATTTGTATATTTTTAATAGAAACTTGCTGAAAAACAGAAAAGTTAAAATTATTAAGCAGAAAAACCAAGCATGTATGGGAAAGGAGTCACACCTTTAAACTTTAGCTAAGGTCTACAAGTAATTTTATTGAGTTATCTTTGGAAAATATTCATGCCTTTTTCATTTATCTATTTCTTTATTTAATAAGGAGGAAATACATTTTTCACACTGGGTAATGTTTGTTTAGAAAGCTTTTTTTTTCTTTTAAAAGAGACTGCCAATAATAATAAGGATAAGACAAAACATTATCATGGCGAGTGTGTTCATTGGTGAATACCATATGTAGGTGTGTGAAATTTGTGAGCATACTGTCTAAGAACTAACCATATAAACATATAAATTACTAATATAAACTTAGTAAAATATAATTCCTATTTGTACATGAATTATATTTTGGAACATCTATCTATTTATTACGAGTGCCTAATTTTCACAGGATTTGTAATTACAGCAGTCATTGATAAAGAGGCAGGGTACACCCTGAAGACAAGTCAGTCAAAGGGTAACACAAAAACACACAAGACAGGAGAGCACAAGGAGAGCAAGACAGAGAGGCCAAATTACCTTTGGATAGTTCTTTATATTATCAAAAGAAGACTTTACCTGGTCCTAAAGCCTTCAGGTTTTCAATTTGTCAACATTCTGCCTTTTACCTGTGGTCATGAAACATGGATTGTGTTTGAGCTTTCTTCGTGGAATGGTAACACTTTGTCTTAAGCTGTGGTTATCTTAAGCAGCCTATCGTGTGAGAATTTGGCCATGAACATTGTCCCCCTGACTTTGACACTTTCATTTCAGGAATAACTGAGGTGCTATAGTTACTAATTTTAACAGTAGGTGGTGCTGCAGATAAAATTTGTCGGTGTATAAAACTGCTAACAGAAGAACAGTCATAAAAGAAATGTATTCCTTATAGACATCTTATCAGAAATGTTGACCTCATAAGAGTCAACATTTACAAGTCTAGCAAACATTTTGAAATTTTTAGTCCCTTAGTGTTTATATTCAGCCTTGTAAATGCTTTATAAAAGAGGTGTTCTTGGTGCATTCCTGCTCTACCTGTTAGATGAGCAATACATCTTTTTCATATCCTTTAAGCCAGATCAAGTTTTTCTCCACTCAACCATGCTGGGAGAGACATTCAGCACTGCAGATAAAGTCTCCCACTTGTTATAATTTTAACTAGAAATGAATGTCATTCTGAATGCTAATAGAAAGCCATGATACAATGACTCAAGTAAATTTGTGTCACAAGATTTTTTAGTGTATTTTGTCTTTATTTTCAGTCCGATATCAACATTCTAATTGTAACTAGATGCTAGGGAACTCTGCAAAGACTCACAAGACCAAATGAAAGATATAGGGTGTAGCTGCACAACTAGGAGTTTTGTGGTAACAGTTACAAGTAAGATTACGAGTCCCGTCAAATAGTGTGGAGAGCAGTTGTGATAATGATGGCATGTGTGGTGGAGCCCACATGAGATGATGTTATTCTTTGGAACAGCCTTGGAAAATATAAAATAAAAAAATTAAAAAACTGAGCTTACTCAATGTCAGTGTTGATGTAACCATATTTGAGCTGTGTGCACCCATATTACAGCTAATTATGGGTTTGGCCTGAGGTCTCAGTGAGTTTCCTCGACAACACGTAGTGTCATGTGAAGTCGAGGAGAACGTACCTTCATCCATGATAATTAGAGGGCGTTAAGCTGTGTTGAAATCTGCAACATCTGTCAGCCCCTTACAAACACCAACAATTCATCAACTCATTGCACTTCAAAGAATCTGTTCAAGATGATGAATCAAATTATGTTTGTTGCTTTTTAATGTCATCTTTATGGCGATTTGTTATCATGATGTTTTAGTTGTTATTGTCAATGTCTCAATGGAACGTTTGAAGTGGGGGAAACTTGTATTGATAAAACAAAACCTGTCTTGATGTGGTCCATGGTCCAATTGTCTCAAAGGAGAAGTCTTAGTGGAGCTTTTAAAGTGAGCCCAAATGCAGCAGACCACAACCTACTGCCACTTCTCCAAAACATCGTTAGAGATGGGTGCTCAAGTCAAGTGTTCCTTGCTGCTACTACTTGTGTCCTGAATTTCTAGAATGAAAGAAAGAAAGAAAACACATTAAAAGAAAGTGACACATGGAGAATACTGTAACGACAATGTGAATAACAAACTTTAATTTAATCAAATATTATACCAAAACAATGACTCGTGATTGTGATGTTGCATGCTGATGTTGTACAGTGGATTGCGATGTGGCGCGATGATGCCTGGGGTGTTCTGTTGGAGATGATGATGCAGGCATACAGAGCTGGGGTTGTTATGCCCTCTTCTCTCAAAGCAGACAGAGAGGGAACCAATTAGAAAATTTAAGTAGAGACCCCAATCTGTTCAGTTTCTTTTCCCCAGCTCTGTCATTCTAGGTTCCATCTCATGTACAGCAAGCAGATCCACAATCAGCAGACTGTAATTTATTTCTGAGCCGATGTTTCTTCAATGGCACAGTCTTTTACTGAGCAAGTACTGTCTAAGATATTCAGTTGCGTGTTCTCCTGTGTAAGTACTGTGCTCAAAAGACAAATAACTATGCTGTTTTGTTAGTTCTATAGTGTTCTATGGTTCAACAATGTTGAATATTAAAGAATTTAACAGTCTCCTTTGTTTCTGCGTGTAATTCAGTGCTTTTCATTCCTCCCGTGGCTGGGCTCAAATCTGCTTTGATATTTTACACATAAAAACCTGAAAAGTGTGTATGAATTACTTTGAGACTGTAGAACAATTTGTAGAACCACACCAAGCCAATCAAGCTTTGCTTCTTTTGGGTTTGCGCATATTGAGACTGAAATTCATAAGGTACTTTTGCAAAGTACCTTATGCTCAGTCAGAGTTCATGGAGAACATCAGTGAACATTAAATCTGAATTTTAAGTAGACCTTTCTAACATATACATTGAGCAAAATCATTCCACTGCAGCTCTTGCCTTTTACTGAAGTCAATTCCTTCCAGAAGGTGAATATCTGCCTCAGTTTCAGGTCTTCAGGTCAGCCGTTCTTCCATGCTTGTTCTGTATTTTGCTCCATCCATCCTTTAATAAATATGCATCTCATTTTTTTGCATATGAGAAGCATGCCCACAGCAAAATGTTACCACCAAGTTTATCCATGTTTTTGTCTCAGGAGGACATCCAGAGTTAATTTTCCACCACACCAAGCACTGTGAATTTCCTTCTACCACAAATCTGATTCCTACTTTGTGTTGTTTTGCTACATAAAATTCCAATAGAAGAGAAGCTGCAGTTTTGATGTTCCAAAATAAGAAAAGAGAAAAAAAATCAAGAAGAATGATCACTTTGCTGTTTTAAGTGTGAGTGGACTGGGAGGTAATGGAGTGTCAGTGATACTGTCTGCAAAGAGGGACCCCCTGAAACTGATACCCACTCTTCAGTGACTGTTTAACCAAACCAACTGAGATGTCATTAGCATTCTGGAGCTAAAATGTTTGAGCAAAAGCTAAAAATGGATCTGTCACTGTCTCCTTGTCTTCAGATGACTCATCCTTAGACATTCTCAGCACTGTTATTTTTGTTTTTTAATGGAACCAAGACAAGTGGAAGCAAGCCCAGGAGGACAGGTTTGATGGGCTCCTTATAATAGTTTAAACGTTTTCTTTTCTCATCAAACAGAATTGATGGAAAAAGTCATCAGTTTTTACAACTGAACAAGAAACATGGTAAACATAGGCTTTCAAAGGTATGGAGATAATATTTCTCAGTTTGTTTTAAATGATGTTGAAAATTAAATTTATGTAAAAGAATTGCTATGTCATAAAACATGAGTGGTCCCATCACTGTTACAGTATCACAGCGAAAGGTAAAGGAGGAGCATGACAGTAATTTGAACTCTGGCTTGAAAGGACACTAGAAAAAAACATTCCTTTAACTTTTTTTTTCACTCGATATGACAGTGCTATAGGTCATATCATGTTCTCAAGAAAAGACAAAAAAAAAGAAATCTGCGATCATATCGACAAGATCGTGCAAAGTGATGACACATTTCCAGAATCAGCCTGTCTAACAAGACATGGTTCATGGGTGACTGAGGACACGTAGCTGGTTGTGCGTCTCATCATTTTCAAGCACTGACAAAAGACTCAGTTGTATGGTCTTGTCTTGTACAACGTACAAGATCAAACTATGTTAGAGACGAAGCAACACCACCTACGTCTTTTATTTTCAATACTGGACTAAGGGGGCTAAAAAAGTGTGAACACTGACTGAAAACATATATTTTAGGATTGATATTATTATTATTATTATTTCTGCTAGTTTGTTAAAGTTGCACATTTAAGTAAATTGTACTGCTTTTTTAAGGGTTTCAGATCTTTAATAATCCCAAGAATATTTATAAG